TCACACTCAGCAAGCATCCTCCTTCAAACTACCCAGTATAAGAACAAGAATGCTCTTGCGGACTGCACAAACTTAGTGACTTAGATTAAGCTTTCCAAATGCGGATTATAGTCATATTGTATCTAGATATACTGTGTATATGATTATACACAATACATATACTGTGTATTGTAATGCATATATTGTGTATACATATATAGTGTATATGTATTTATTCCTATACATGTGTATACATACAGACACATAAATACATGATAGGCACAGAAGGCAGAGAAATTCTAGATGGACATGTAAGGGTCCCTGGAGAAGCCCCACCCTCAAGCTGAAAAGCCTGAGACTGCAGCCCAAAGTGAGAGCTTATATTGTTTTCCCGCTTGAATGTTACCTTTTCCTAAAGCACCCATGGCCCCACCCCACCCCGTTCTATGGCTATAAAGACCCCAGACTCAACTGGCAGAGAGGAGAAGCTGCTGGACATTGCAGACCATGGCTGGATGTTGGACAGAAATTGGCTTAACTTCAGAGGGACAGTTTGATAGCGTAACTTTGAAGAATCCGGCCAGAGATGGCTGGACTCCAGGGGAAGATTACCTTCCTGCCCCATCCTGCCCCCTGGAAAGGGGATGCCCTTTCCAGCTCCCCTTCCGCTGAGACCCACTTTCATTGGCATTTACCACCATTTACCTCCACATTTACCACCTTTCAGTTCCTTCATGTAACCTCATTTTTCCTGGACACCAGACAAGAGCTTGGGAGTCATGAGTGCAGACACAAAAGGGCCCACTGAGCTATTAACACTTAAGCTATCTGCAGGCAGCAGCGCTAAAAGAGCACTGTAATACGTCCTCTGGGGTTTCAGGGGTCACGGGTTCTCTGCTAGATGTTGGTGCGGGCCCACAGGGAGTTGGCTCCTGCCAGCATCTAACATTACTCACCCTGGCTCCGGCATCTGCTCACCTGTGTGCTCCCTCCAGCATGGGATAGAACACAGAGGGTCTGAGTGAGTGGAACTCACCCCTGCCAGTGCCATAGTGGCCAGCTGGTTCCAGCATGTGTGCACTCCAGTTCCCACCTTGTTTGCACACTCCCTCTCACAAGAGTTGAGAGTTGAGGGCTGAGTAAATGAGGCAGCCTTATCGCAAGTCCTGGGAAGTGTCAGGGAAATATCTTGCTTCATACATACATAGATATATAAACATAGGCATCAATGTAGTCATTCATACATATGTGTGTGTGTATATATGTATTTGCCTAAGTGTATTTAAATAGATATTATAGACACTTATAGACTATAGTAGAGAGAAAAAAATTACCCAAAAACTTTCTATATGAAATGAGTATGTCCCATTTATAGAACTTTTAAAAAATAAAAATATTTAATAATAACCAATTAGAGAAATTAAAACATTTCATATCAGGAAAAAAGACCCAAAATAGCAAGAAGCATAAAGCATCTTTCATTTGCATTTTCATTTGTAAATATGACACTTAAAACACAGCATTTTAAAAATGCAAGCAATGCTTTTTCAAATCTTTTTTGGTTTCTATTGCAGTCTGTTTAAAGCGAGTCAGGTGTTCTACCAAGTCTTCATATGACTTTGTTGCATTAACACATAGTATACCTAATCCATTTTTCACATGTTCATTGTAGAAAAATATTCACAAACTACAACTTTTGCAAAAGGTCTACACTCTGGGTTTGGATTCCTGTGAAGTTCACTGTTTCATCTTGGGCAGCCTTCCTGGTGGATGTCTCAGAAACCAAAAAGCTGTGATAGCTCCTTTTTACTTGATGAGCTCCTGATTGGGTCTCCCTTCAAACACCATTTGAAAACTGCAAGTCTCTTGTCACACATTTTTTTTTTTTAACATCCTGGAATCTATGGCATAAAATGTGTCCATAATGTAAATCAGCATTAAATACTAACCACTAATCTGTGATTGTAGGAAAGAATGTGTACACTGATTCAGTGAGGGCAGGAGCAGAAACCTGCATGGGGAGGCAGCTGGTGACCAAGGCTGCTGGGGCAGGCGGCCAACAGGCTTCATGTCCAGAAGGGACTCCCGTGTGACTTTCCAGTCCTACCATTTCTCTGAGCTAGATCGTCACAAGATAATACTTAACAACTAAACATATTTTTCCTGGGTATTTTGAGAGAAATCTTATGAAGCAAAATTTCACTGGAACCAATTATTATCTCGTAACCAATTCAAATGCACTACCTTTCTGAAACAGGGGTGGGATTAATGCATTCCACTGTCACCCCATGTTTTCAATTATTTGCATGATTTTCAGGCCATACCACAAATACCTGTCAAATCTCAGGATCTAAATGCCAGTGTTAGGTGAGGCTCTGGCTACTGTGACCCGAGGAGTTCTGAGTCATTCAAGGGTTGCCTCAGACCCACTTGGCAAGTGCAAAGAGACACTAGTAAAATGTTGCCAGCAACCTGGGTTCAAAATCGGTCTCACGGCCTAGAGTTGCCTTCCCTTTTGTTTATAACTTTTAAGATCTTTATAAATTCCTATTTCATTAAACCGTCTGAAGCAATTAATTAGGATAAGAAACAAGCTGATAAGTGCCTGGGTTTTATTGCTAGATAACTCATAGAAGAAGCAATTTCTACTCATCCATCAGGAAAGACAGATTTTTTTTTAATTTATAAGATTATGCAAATTCATATATTATAACACAAACTAAGCTTGACCCTCAAATTCCTGATAACTTTGTCCTTCTTGCTATGAAGTTGGTACCCAGCCTGCCACTCCTTTAAACTTTACGTGGCTTCAAAGTACTTCGAGTCACCCATAGCAAACTTTACCCACTGTGGAAGGGTTTTAATTTTGACTCCTGACGTGCAGCATATGATTTTAGGCTATAAAATCTAATTGCAAAATCTCCATGTTGTGACAAAGAACAACAAAAAGTAATTTCCTTTAGATTTATAACTTTAGAATTACAAATGATGTTAATATGACTAAAATTACAAAAATGAACAAGTTCCATTCAATAGGCACTTAGATTATTCCAGAAGTGGCCAAAGTGCTGGCTGTGTAAACAGTGATAGCCAGAAGACTGACAGGTACAAAGAAAGCCATTCGCCACCAGATAACGACAGAGATTGCAGAGGAACGTGTCAGAGATTTCTCAGAGCTTTAGGGTGTGTGGTTTTAAAATATCCAGAAGAGTTCTGCTACATATTCAGAATCTGCCAGACCTCAGCTTTAAGACAATAAATCATTTGCTTAAGGAAAATCTCTTTCTGTCACATCCTCACAATTCACACATAAGTTTCCTGTCTGCCTCTTCACTACTGGAAAATCTTTATGTTCTAATCTAAGTCACTACTTCTGCAGACCTTAGGATTCAAGGGAAGAAGAAAGCTATGGGAACTCAGGAGGCAAGACAGGGTTGTGCAAGGAAGTCTTCTTGCTTGAAGAGAGGTCTAGTAAGTCCCAAGGTGGCCTCTTTGCCTCTTCGCCAAAGTACAGATTCTATCTATGCATCAGAACTAGAATATGTTTTCCAAGTCAGACCAAGGTTTTTCCAGGAACTTTAGGGTTAAGCATTAGGTGGATGTGCATCAAAAATACTGCGGCAGCACAGTAATTCATTGATGTAGTCAAGTAATACTTATTTATTGAGTACCTGTTACATGGAACAGTAGGTACTGCCTGGAATACAAAGTTATATAAGACAGACCTCTGCCTTCAAGGCATTTATAATTTAGCTAAGATGAGATACACACAAAAGAGAGTTAAACTGAAGAAGATAAATACTATCTGATCCCAGGGAAAAGCATAAATATGATAAATGCTCTAAAGCAGCACCATCCAATGAAAATATAATGTAAGCTACACATGTAATTTTGTATGTCCCAGTAGCTATGTTAAAAAGCTGTTAAAAAGGGTTGGGTGCAGTGGCTCATGCCTGTAATCCCAGCATTTTGGGAGGTCAAGGCAGCCAGATCACTTGAGGTCAGGAGATCGAGACCATTCTGGCTAACACGGTAAATCCCCGTCCCCACTAAAAATACAAAAAATTAGTCAGGCATGGTGGCATGCACCTGTAATCCCAGCTACTCGGGAAGCTGAGACAGAAGAATCGCTTGAACCCAGGAGGCAGACGTTGCAGTGAGCTGAGATCATGCCACTGCACTCCAGCCCCGGGTGACAGAGCAAGACTCCATCTCAAAAAAAAAAAAAAAAGCAAACCATGCTATCAAAATAAAATTCATTGAGATATTTTTGTGTGTATGTATTCTAAGTCTGAAATCCTTACACTTACTGCACATCTCAATTTGGAATGGCCACATTTCAAGTACTTTGAAGCCATACCTGGAGAGTGGCTACACGATTGGACAGCACATACCCAAGATAATAAGAACAGGCTTCCTTGGTAACATGGAGGCTTTGTTGGATGGAAAAACAAATTTACTTGTCTTCTCAGAACCAGCTGCCATGGAGGCCAGCACAACCTAATCAGGCACTGATTCCAACAAAACTACCCTCCATTTACCAAATATACTGATGAAAGTAACACAGTCCTTGGAATTTGGTTGACTTGGGTTGGAATCTCACATGTAGAACTTTTTTCTGTGGAACCATATTCATCAGGTAGTTTAATAATGGGTTGATTCAGCACATCTGGAGTATTCAAGCCAAGCATGTTCCAAGATAATGTCTTGTCTTTGATTGGCTCCTGGGAAATAATATCTAAGCCCTTACAATATTCTGTCTGACAGGAGTGTTTCTCTCTCTCTTGACCTGAGATCTTTGAGCCATGCCAGATAGTTTACACTGACAATGCAGTTTACGGTGGGGACCTGTGGCCAGGCTGTATCTGGTTGATTTCAGGAAGGGCTGGAGGCTGAGTAACTAAGGTCAGTCACGCAAGTATTCCATGCCTTTGTGATCAACCCTCAATAAATCCCTGGAAACCAAGGCTACATTGTGTTCCTTTGGTTGGCAATATTCCATTCATTTTGCCAAATGTCATTTCTGGGAGAACACAGTGCTGTCCTTATGACTCCACTGGGAGAGAACAGTCTTTCCCGAGTTTTCCTGAGCTGAGGATTTATACACAGTCTTTCCTGAGCTTTGCCCCACACGCCTTTTATGGGTGCTAACTTTAATCTGCATCTATCCCGTCACTGTAATCAACCCTAACTGTAAGTATAAATGCTTTTCTGAGTTCTGTGAGTCCTTCTAGAGAATCATTGAACCTGATAGTGGTATTGGACACCACCAACTCAAAGCTTCTCCCTCTTGTGATGATAATCCCAGTAAACACAATGATAAAACCTATATAAATATCCCTGGACCAGATGTGTTAGTTTGGAAGAGTCAGAAATATAAAGAAATATATAGAGTGATTTCTATATATACTCTCTCACTTTATCAGGGCACTATGGTAATCTAGGAATTATCTAGGAAGAGATCCAGTTCCCTCCAATAGCATCAGAATCTCTTAGGCAGCCAGTCTGTAGCTTTTCCAAAAGGTAAATTCCTTCCTAGGATCAAGCTTGCAACTTCTTTACATGAGTTGTAATAGGCATGTGGCTATAAACCAGACAAATGCCATTCATGATCCAGTTCCCTCTAATAGCATCAGAATCTCTTAGGCAGCCAGTCTGTAGCTTTTCCCAAGGGTAAATTCCTTCCTAGGATCAAGCTTTATTTGAGTTGTAATAGGCATGTGGCTAGAAACTAGACAAACGCCACTCATGATACAATTAGTGTGTTTCATTATTATCTTTCTTCACATATTTTATAGCCCCTGCCCTGTTTTTTTCAAAATTAACATAAGAAGTTTCTTGCCTTATGTATTCTTACTCTCTCACAGAAACCAGTACATTACCAACAAATTAAGAAAAAATTAAAGATATTCCATTCCATTTTTCATTATTCTATTGAGCAATTAACACTGATATTTAATGAAGAAAGCCAAAATGCATTCTGCTTTGGATACATATTTCAACAGAGTGGGATAGAAGAAAAGTCAGATCCCATGTCATGAGTGTCCCCAGTTCATTGTGAAAGACACAGGTGAAGACACATTCTTAGTCTGTGGTGTCCCCATAGACTTCCAGACATATGGACTAGCTAAAAACTTTTGGAAGCCAATCAAATCCCAAGTCTCAAAGCTGTACTCTACTTGCATTGGCTTTCTCTGTCTGCAAGGGTCTACAGACCAAGGCACTCTACCTTTGGCCTTCACTCATTCTCAAATTCCCCTGCTTTTCACTTCTCTCTCATCATTCATTCAAGGAGACCCCCTTAGCCTTGTCATAACACTGATTCTTATTTCTCCATGTTGATATCAGGATTCCATCCTGTATGAATTATCTTCCTATGTACTCCCTGTTTTTTCAAATTCTAATGAATATAACAGGTCGGGGAGTACTTAAGAGTAGGGTATAAGTTTACTAATATCTGTCTTCTCATATCTAGTGAAATAGTCTTCAATGCATGTGTTAAATGGAACATGGGTCATATCAAAGCAGCATGCAGTACTATATATCATCTGTATTCTTCCTTAATAACCTCCCTAACCTCCCTCCTTTCCAGGCCACCAGACACTGCCAATCTGATATATCTTTTTTTTTTTTAATTTGTATTTATGTATCTATCTGTCTCTCTATCTATCATCTATCTACCTGGAGACCAGTTTATGGCGCTGGCAAATTTTTGTATTTTTGGTAAAAACAGGGTTTCGCCATGTTGCCCAGGCTGGTCTTGAATTCCCAGTCCCAAGAGATCCACTGGCCTCTGCCTCCCAAAGTGCTGGGATTACAGGCGTGAGCCACCACACCTGGTCCAATTTGATATATCTTGACTAGCAATTGTGTTAAAGAAGCACTTATGAACTATATTCTATCATTCTTCTGATCATTTTACATGGGATTGTTTATATCTAAATAATATTGTGAATTTAGTGAAAGGTCATTTTTAACATTTACAAAATATAAGTATTAGTCTCTAGGCTCTAAAAGAGGGATTGGCAAACTATGATCTATGGGCTCAGTCTGTCCCATCACCTGTTTTTGTTAATAAAGTTTTATCGGAACACAGCCATGCCCATTGTTTACATATGTTCTATGGCTGGATGTGTGCTACACTGGCAGAGTTGAGTTCACACTATTTGACCTGCAAAGGCCAAAATATTTACTATCTTACCTTTTCCAGAATAAAAGTATGCCAACCCCTGCTCTAGAAAATCAGAGTAAAAGACTCAACAAATATGTATTACAGATAATTAAACATGCTAAGCATAGTGTTTTAGAAATGAAAGAAAGAAGAAAGAAAGAAAGAGAGAGAAAGAGAGAGGGAGAGAAAGAAAGAAAGAGAAATAAAAGAAAGAAAAAGGAGAGAGAGAAAGAGAGAAAGAAAGAAAGAAAGAAAGAAAGAAAGAAAGAAAGAAAGAAAGAAAGAAAGAAAGAAAGAAAGAGAAAGAGAGAAAGAAGAAAGAAAGAGGGAAAGGGGAAGGAAGGGGGGAAGGACGGAAGGAAGGGGAGGGAGGGAGGAAGGAAGGGAAGAAGGAAGGAAGGAAGGAAGGAAGGAAGGAAGGAAGGAAGGAAGGAAGGAAGGAAGGAAGGAAGGAAAGAAAAGAAAAGAAAGAGGCAGGGAGGGAAGGAAGGAGAGAAAGAGAGAGAGAGAAAGAGAGAAAGAGAGACACAATTTTAAAGTAAGAAGGAACCACCTCTGGGCACATCTACTCAAATCTCTTCCCTAAGACTCCAGAAGAGTAGAGGGTCTTGCTGAAATTCACCCAGCTAGATATCAACGTGGATTAGCTTAGAAAGAGCCCCTAATCGTTCACTCCATACAATTTATCATATATCACATGGCATCAATAAGGAGGAGCACTTCTACAATATTGCATCCCATAGTTTTATATGGCCTTTAATATCTTCCAGTGAAAATGATAAGGACATGCAGGAAATCATTACCATCTTCATAAGTTGAGTATTTTCTACACTTTCACACAAAACCATTTTGAAACTCCAGCTAATTACTATACTTCCATTTCCTCTGAGGGAAAAATAAAATAAAAAGCAAACCTTCTGGAATTCCTAGCACAGCCTATTGGTTAATGTTATCTACAGTCCCATCAAAGTCACTGGCCTCACTCCCAGCCTTGCTTTGGTACCAGCAGCCCCAAGTCAAACACCCAAGATGTTAAACTTTAAAAAAAGAAAAAGCACATGTTAAAAAAAAAGAAACAAAGGCTGACATTTATGGTTTCAGGGTTTTTATTTCCAAGAAGGTGGATTTCTGCCATGGCCCAGCATCCCCCAGAGAGCTCAGCATGCCACACCTCCAAATCACCAGCCTCTGCAAAGACAGGTTCGCAAGGCAATGAGGAAAATAAATACCCTTCCGTTGGCTTTGCCCTTTTTGGTTTATTTTGGCGAATCTCTTCATAGTTTCATTTCAAGGTACTAACCTGCCAAGACCCATAAGCCAAGGGGTATAATAGTTACTCTTGTTTCACAGCGAGGGACGAAGCCATCACGTGGACAAACTAGAAGCCGTATTTACGGCCCCACTGACTTCCTGGGAGAAGGTTGTGAATTCAACGTTACAGTCACATTTCTAATCTTGTTTTCAATTTTTCTGGACATGTTTATATTCTTATTTCCTGATGTGTGCCAAACAGCTTCAGAGACCCTTCCTGCTGTGGGCCCAGTTTTCAGTGTTTGTCATGGTGAACTTTAATTATTTGCTTGACCCCATTAATGTTCTTCACTAGACTGTCTGCCTCCAGGCACGTGACAGCTGTTTGTTCATTCAGGCCTTCGTGCGGCACATGCGTACCTACTCTGTGCCTGGTCCCGCTGTAGACACTACAGACACCGCAGGAAAACCAGCAGAGAAGGCTGTTCCTCTCATTAACTGCTTATCCTAATGAGAGAGGCAGAATCAATGAAATAAGCAATCAGTGCCATGATGTCAATAAAACAGAGTGACTTTGTAGACTGTGACTTAGAGCAACATGGTAGAGTCTGCGAGGAAGGCCACTCTGTGCGGGTAACATTTAAGTTGAGACTGGAATGACAAGAAAAAGCCACATAGAGGTCTTGGCAAAGGGCATTCCAGGAGAGGGAGTTGTCTGGGGAAAGGCCCCAAGGTGATGATGATGATCCAGGGAAAATCTGAGCAAGAGAAGCAGGACAGGAGTGTAACAAGAGACAGGAGAGGAGAGGTGTGAGGGAGGTAGGGCCAGTGCATGCATTATCATGCAAGTAGAGGTAAAAAGCTTTGGATTTTATTCTACAGGAGAGGTTGGCAAACTTGCTGCAAAGGTCTGGATAGTATTTTAGGCTTTGTGGGAATATAGTCTGTCATAACTCCTCAACTCTGCTGTTGTCGCCACAGACAAGAGTAGGCGTGGCTGGGTTCCACTAAGACAATACTCACAAAGACAAGTGGGAAGCTGATTCAGCCTGTGGCTATAGTTTTTGCCAACCCTTGTCTATGGCACTAGGAAGCCAAGGTATATGTAAGGAACAGTCGAGGAGGAGGCATGAGCTGTGGGGCAATTTTTTTTTTAAATCCTAGGACTGTAGTGTGGGGAATGGTCTACAGAGGATGGAGAATGCAGGAAATGGGATAGACCACAGTGGTCTGGAGGAGATGGAGGAAAGGGGGCAGATGTAGGAAGCATTTTGAACTAATTGATTAGGAAAATAAGGAAACATGAGAAACTGAGGATAACACCCAAGATTTTCACTAGAACAACTCAGTCCACGGGGTGATTTCTGAGACAGGAGAGATGGAGAAAAAATAAATTTGGAGAACAATCCAATAGTTCTTTCCTGGATGTCTACGAGGAGGTCTTCACTAGAAATTGCAATGGAGATGTGAGTAAGGTGGGAACAGGGAAGTTCTGGAGCTCAGAAGGGGCTGGGCAGAAGATAAAGGTTTGGTAGCCCTCAACATACAGATATCATTTAATAAGGTGCTAGAGGGGACATCAAGGCGAAGAATGACAGAAAGAGAAGAAAATGGCCACTCATACTGAGAGTTAGAAGAAAGATGTATGGAGTGTTCAGCATTAGAACAAATGAATGCATGCAGAAATGTATGAATAAAGCCCACATCCCTGTATTAGGAGGGTAATTCCTCTCTATCTACAACCTCTATAGTTCACTGGAGAATTTCAGAGCGAATGGCTATGACAATTTTGATCTTAGAATCAATTTGATTATTTATTGCCATCCCTGATACATCCCTTATCTTCATACAGGCTTTTAAGGACTTCCCAATTGGATTCTGTTTCTACTGACATCAATATAAATTGGAACCTGCTCCTTCACTTCAATTCTCTCCCCAGAAGTGAGAGCTGATAGCCCCAGGTAAGTCCCCAGCCACCACTGAAGATGCATTTCTTCTCTGGGGGTTACCTTGAGAGACTGAGGTTCTGTTGGTTATGATTATATGGTTTGCTAACATAATTGTGAACATAATTTGTTTTGATCTGCTTCTGCCTTCCAGTCAACCCATGTTCTGTATATTAGAAGAAGAAAGGGTTGGTGTGTGCATGTTTGTGCACACACATAAGTGAAGAGTGTTTAGTTCTGCCTGTCTGTGCCTCAGGATACGGAATGTAACAGATGTTACAATAACACACATTTTTTGCTTTAAGAAAAGGATGAAGGAGGTAGAGTGGGCCAACTTGTAGACACTTTGGATTCCAAATCAAACCAGAAAAAAAAAAAGAAAAGGCTGCACACAGTTACAAGAAAGTGCAAGCGGAAAAGAACCCCCACCAAGTTCAAAGGGACTTGTGTTTAATCAGACAAAAACAACCTTTATAGCCTCAGGAGCCCGTGTGGTGTGTGAGGAAGTTGTGCAGCAGGATGGCATTAGGCATTCAAGCCAGCATGCTTTTGTTTTATTTTCTTCTTTCTTTGTTTGCAACCAGGGTTCAAAGAAATTCACTGTGCAAAACAGATACTGAAATAGATCATACCCACGAATTAACATTGTCATGACAAGCAGCTCTGTGTTATGAGCAAAATTACAAGTGATCCATCAAATAAAGCAGTTATTGTCTAAGTAAGAGCTCCTTTCTTCCAGGATTCCACCATGTTGCTAGCTTTGCCTCTTCCAGTGAAACTCTCATGCACCTAATATGAACACCAAGCAGCCTCCTGAACATATTCATTGAGCCCGACTTCAAGAGAAAGCCCTGAAAGATGAGGATGTAGCAGCTGGCAAGACATGGAGAACCCTTTCCTTCTGAAAAAAATCATTCTCCTTCCTGAGCCCATTCACACAGGGCTTTGACTGTTTCCTACCTGAAGGTCACATGCATGGCCAAATCTCCATCTCATTAATTATAACTCTTGGCAAGCCATTAAAAATCTCATTTCATTTTACCATCCACCCTCCTTTTAACTGACTTTTCATAATTATAATTCTATTTTTGATATACTGGACCTATTAAATTTAATGCCATACAGAGATTTGAGAACTCCTTAAAAAATGACTCAAGCTGGACTGTGTCCACCAAAGGATGTGTAGTCCTTGCTTAGGAATATGAGAGGGGAAAACTGCAGTGCATTCTATTTTCATACACAGAGGAAGAAAAGTCAAGTTAATTGCATATGGTCAGTATAATAACGCTGTCATTCTAGAAGGGCTATAATTAGCGAGAATTGTTTTCACAAACAGAACCGACCAAGCCCATGACTCCAACTTGCATTTGTTCCTTTTTTTCCCCCACCAGTTATAAACATTTCTATTTTTGTTCCTCCCCAAACATAAACATTACTCCATTAAAAATACCCAGGGAGAGGAGATCCTGACAGCATCACTGCAAACTCTGGGAATACAGATAAGCCTCTCTGCAAATGTTGAGTCTACTAAATGGATTAGAGTGCCAAGACAGGGTTGGAGGAACTGTTATCCAACAAGCTAACCTTTACCTGGTAACTTCAAGACAGGAAGCCCCAGGTGAGGCCCCTCTCCTGGACACAGAGGAGTGCTCCAAAGCCCCATGTGAAGATGAGGGGCCGTTGGTATCTTTCATGTCTGAAGATATATAAGGCAAAACTTACTTAGCTCCACGTCATGTCGTACAGTATGGATGAATAACTATGGGACAAAATTATCTCTCGCTTTAAACTACAGCTATTTAACAAACATTATTGGGACAGGAATTCTGAGCAGTGCATTTTCCAGTGCTGAAATTCAATTAAGAAAGAGGGATTGTTGAATTTTGTCACACTAGACTGAGACAGTGGATCATCTGGAGTATCTAACAGTGATTCTTTCCCCAACATGTGTTCAGAGTCCTGCTGCTCCAGCTTCTAGAACACACTTTCCTCTGTCCCCACTGCTTTTGGCTTGTACTCTCCATACCTCTCATTCCATCACTGCTTGTCCGTCTATGCCAAGTCTGTTCCTTGGTGCCTGAGCGCTCCAGGCAGCATCTCTAACATGCAACCTCAATAAGACCAAAGCCACTAAGAACCACACTGTTCCGTTTTACCTTCAACCCCATTCTCAGTGCTGTCCCATGTGCTTTTGGTCCAGGGACCACCCAGAGCTCCTTTGGCTTCCCCACACCTGTCATTCTGGCTCCAGCTGGGATGACAGCTGCCACAGAACCTCTCTGTACATCTTCTTCAACAAGAGGAAGGGTCCTCCCTGTGCACACAGTGCCCAGACCTTGCCTCTCAGGCCCTATGCTGCAGCGTTCAATTTGTCGGTCAACACATCCATCTTTCCACTAAATGGCAGGTGCGCTGCTGTGTCCTACACTCCCAGTGCCTAACACAAAAGCTGCCCTGATGTGGGCACTTGATAAAGATGTGATTTAGTGAATGAATGGATGTGGGTTCAAAGAGTGACTGAATGAATAAATGTCAAACACATTGATGAATGAATGAACATGAGTCATTCAGTGCACCCTCTATGTTGAAAGAAATGAAGCTGGAAAATAAGACAAAGCTTGGGATGCTAGGAGAGAGTTCTTTGAACTACATTTGGAGTACACCTGTCCTCTATGCTATGATAAATATGCCTGGAATCTAGAAAAGGAGGCTCTAGATTGAGGCATTGAGGTACATGATGAGATAATTTTCCCTCAAAACTTTTTGATTCAGGGAGCAAAGCACTGGTTCAGAGCCCTCTTGCAAAGATAGTAGGATGTGGGGCTATGGAAAAATTCAAAGTGAAAAAAGTGAGCACATACATGTTAATTAGGACTCAGCCCATTTCCGCTCTCAGGCAGGCCCCCCAATCCTCAGCACCAGCAACCAAACCAGACACACACACTCATAGACACGCACACAAGGCAGGAACACCACAGTAGCAGCTCCTCCCCCGACCAGCTAGAGGCTGCAGAATATGAGAACCTGGCCTTTGCAGTGTGACAGGCCAGGAATCTAGCCTCTGCTCTGTTCCAGAAGCACCATGGGTTCGTGGACAAGTTAATTAAATTCCTTAGTTTTTTTTTTCCTCAGCTATATAAAAGGGGGAAAATGGTCACTTTATACAACTTTTATAAGGACTAAATGGTATACTGTATGTAAGGCACTCAGTAAGCATTTGTTGTTGGATTGCTATTGTGAGGCACTGTTGGAACTTGACATTGCTATGCTTAGCCTGGCTTGGTCTTTATCCAATAGATTCCCTTTATAACATAGTAGCCAGAGTAAAGGAATGGCCATAGAAGGAATTTCCTTGCATAACCAAACTGAAGCTGAGTTGATGATAGGTTAGACATCTAGGGAATCTGAAATGAGTCAGTCCTTCCTTTCCTGAAGGTCATGATGTAACTTTTGTACCTATAATAACTATTCCTCTACAGCTGATTTTGCCGGGTTTTTTTTAAGCCAAAATTTAACCAATTCCAATCAATCCCGTCTTTATATTTGCCACCACTCCATGCTAACTTGTTAGGCAATCAAGTATTCAGGTTAGCATAACTCTCAAATAAGTATTTCCTTACAGAGGAAAAACAAAGAAACAAAAAACTATGAAAAAATATTATCCTTTAAAGGCAAAATGTCCATCCAGTTTTGAAGATTAAGAACCACTGGGGCAGAAGAGGTAGAATGACCTAGAATTCAGAACTGCACTGATAAAATTATTCCTCTGACAACACTAGGAGGTTGATTCTCCTAAGGTTGTCTAATAGATTTAAAAATTTTTGTTATCCTTGTTTTATAGAAATACAATGAGAAATATAGACATGGTTTTGTTTAGTTTTTAAATTCAAGATAAACAAGAATTTCAACTGTGACATTATCTCTCAGCAACAGCCTTTGAATCTCTTGCATAGTTCAATGAACTATTCACTAGATGAACCACTATTAACCTCTGCAGTGGGTCATCCTACTTCATCTGTACTGTTAGTGCATTAATCAGAAGTTAGCATCAGGTATGCACACACCTGTGGAGATAATGTATACAAGTGTTCTCCAGAGGGATGGGATTTGATTCCGTAGGTGACACTGATGGAATACAGCAGTGAGAGTCTTAAGAAATTTGATAGATATCACAAAAGAGACATTTTTAATAGTGTAAAAATCAGTAAAGGTGTTTTTCAAAATATATATAATTGAGAAAATATACACTACTCTAAAGAGAGAGTAGATTATGAGATAGAGACGCAGGAAAGGACTATCTCAATTGTGTCCCCCAAAGCAAATAAATTTTTATTAAGTCCAGTACCTTGCTTTTTATAACAATACAATAGCTTACAAAAGAAAACAAAGCTTTAGTACGCACTCTTGGAAATACCTTTTCAGATGATGGTGAAAATAATAAAACAGCAATGAAAATAATGACACCCATAAGAGTACACACTGGGTGCATACAATATTCTCAGCACTAGGCTGAGCAACACAGTGGGTATTTTACGTACACATTCCTGAATCCTTGAAAAATCCCTGAAGCCATATATTATTACTTACATTATTCATGCAAGAAAACTAGAGCTCTAAGACAGGAAAAGCAAGAAACACAAATGATTCTTTTCATTTTATAATTTTATTTATCAGTCCATGATTTATCTTTTGAATGCCTGATTTTCTATCTTCTTCATCCTAGGGGAGAGAGTATTAAGTTCTTTAACAGCAAAGGATTAAATATATAGTCATTCTCTCCACCAAGATCTATAAAGTATTTGTTTGGGGCACAAAAATAAATAAGACAGAAATCTTGCCCTTTAAAAACTCAAGTCTGGCCAGCAGCAGTGGCACATGCCTGATATCCCAGCACTTTGGGAGGCTGAGGCAGGCAGATCACCTGAGGTCAAGAGTTTGGGACCAGCCTGGCCAACATGGTGAAACCCTGTCTCTACTAAAAATACGAAAACTAGCCAGGCAAGGTGGCGGGCGCCTGTAATCCCAGCTACTCGGAAGGCTGAGGCACAAGAATCACTTGAACCCAGGAGGCAGAGGTTGCAGTGAGGCAAGATCATGCCACTGCACTCCAGCCTGGGCAACAGAGCAAGACTCTGTCTCAAAAAAAAAAAACACAAACAACAACCACCACAAAAACTCAAGTCTATGCAGCATCACCTACTTTCTTCCTTAAAAATAAGACGAATACATGGTTCTGTTATACGGAAAGGAGGGAAAGTGATGAAAATTATACCAGCAGCACCTCCATTTTTCCTGTGAGGTAGGACTGAGTCACATATATGTTTATATGTTGTGAGTTCTAGATAAATAATAAATGTCTTACTCTGGGTTTAAATGTGAGTTAATCCGTTCCTCTCCATGCATCACCTTCTAAGAGATTTCCTCAGCATTTTCTTCCACCTCATAATGCTCTTTCTCACTACATCTATACTCTTTCTCATCCACATCATGATTTCTTGCTCTGACCTTATTGATGCTACTAGGCTGGTGCAAAAGTAATTGCTCTTTACATATGTATCTCTTTAAACACCTTCAAGTCTGTTGGGAGTTGGTCTATTTCACGGATCTAGGGTCCAAATTCTGTCACTGATTGCTCTGCTGACACGCTTAGTCCCATTCATTGTTTCATTAGTGTGTACCCTTTGACTTGAGTTCACCATCACCAAAAAGCTGTGTTTACAAGAGCCCCAAATCCGGGAACGGAGAACACTGCCATGGGCATGAACAGTAGAGGGCGCACTCAAACTCGAAGATTTGGTGTTCAGGACCCTGCTGGCAAGGAAAGTTCTTATTTGGGCGCCCCGTGGGAACCTAGAGGCGCAGTGTCTTCTTCATGAGACAACGTCCATCCACAGCCATCTTCGTCTTCTCGTCCTGAGGGGCGAATCTGCAGTTTTTTTGTGTTTTTGTTTTGCAGGTAGAACAGCTCACTGTGGCTTCTGGATTCAGTTTCTGGCCTCCCTGCTCATCAGACTCAAGCCTCACCCGCTTCTCCCATCCCTGAGCATGTTTATGAGCCCCAGCCCCCAGAGACATTTCAACTTGGGTTCCTACTGAGGATTCCAGACTTGACCTCTCTTTTTATTTCTGTCCCCTGGAACTGTCCCTTTCTTGCTTTGGGGACGTTCTCTATTTTTTTAGTGCCACTATATGAGGGTAAGAGATCTATCCCATCAACTCAGCCTACTGTTTTGCTGGAAATCTTACAAAAGAACTATCTTATGTTTTCACCTCAATTCCAGAGTAACTAGAAATACTACCCTACGTAGTGTGCAAAGGGTACACACTAATGAAACAATGAATGGAACTAAGCGCGTCAGCAGAACAATCAGTGACAGAATTTGGACCCCAGATCCGCAAAATAGACCAACTCCTAACAGACTCCCAACCCTACGTGGGCACAGACACTTAGTTTGAATGCTATTCCAGTGTTTTCATGTTGATAAATATGAACATTTTAAATCTTAAGGGAAGATAGGTAGTTTTAAGTCCGTCCTTTCAATTTTACATCTGCATTTAAAAATATAATTTAAACTACTATTTAACCATTAATTATATCCCAAAAAAAGAGGATATAAAAACCCAAGTGAACACAAAGTTAACCTACTTGCCCATGGTTTTGAAACCCAGCCCACACAATTCCCAACCTCTGTAGCATGTTCCCTTGGCTAGATGAATATCAAATGTAAGATGATTTCTATGGTTAGGAGTTGAGTTGAAAGCAGAAACTCTTTAGTCTTAAACTAGAAGTTTCATTTTTTTATGTGCAAAAGCATCTATCTGCAAATGCCCAAATGAGAAACAACAGACTGGCTGAAACTATTCAGCACCACACCTGGCCACTAGGGAGTGATCAGGATTTTTCAGGGACTGCCTCATCTCAGCATAATATTTATAATGCATCTTACTTTTTACTTTTGAGTTTTTATTTCTTCGAACAGGGTTAGGAAAATCCAGTAATTAAAGATTCCAGGACTCTAAAGTACATTTCAGAAAAGCAGAATTGTTCATGAGATCTTATAACCATGCTAGGTTCTTCGGACATTACTTTGTGTGGTTATGTGACCAGAGGAGTTTGGTCTCAGGCTATAAAAGGCATAAGTCTTTCTAATCTGTGCATGAGCAAATATAGCACACAGGAAATCATTGCAAAGCGCTGATATAATCTTTTCTGTTTTACTCCATCTGAAGATGGCTCCTGTCTGAACCATGCACACTAATCATTTAATGTTCTACAGAAGAAAAAAACAAACAGAGCAGGGAGGGAGATGTGGTCATATACTGGATCTACACTTAAAACAGTGAATGGCTGCTACCCCCCACCTCCTGCAGTAGGAAAGGGAGGTCATAATTATATGGTGGGGCAGGAATGGGTCAAAAGCAAATTGCCTGAGTGGGAGAAGTTCTAGAAGGTCACATGGTGAGACTGGCTGAAAAGTACCTCCAGAACTAGTGAATGTTTTCACTTGGCTTGAAGTCACAGAAAGAGCATTGCAGCATAATAGAATTACACATCCTTTGGGAGATATCCTTCTCTCACTAGGAGTTTGAAATTCTTGGTGATATCAACCTAAGCTCCACGTAGTTATGGAAGTAAAGGAAACTGGAGGCTTTGAGAATTACAAAATATACCACAGATGGAATATTATCCAACTATATTTCTTGCCTCCCCTAAACATCAGTTACACGGTTCTGTCAAGAGATTCAGAGCTGCCAAGGGTCAATTGCTCAGTTGTAGCAAAAACTATTTTCAGTTCATGGAATGGCATGACTAAATCAAAGAAAAATAAAATAGAATAAAAAGGCATCTCAAGTGGCCAGAAAACATGGGGCATATGGAAGTAGGCAGGCAATGAGGCAGGATGTTCACGAGAGAAGCACAATATTTCATTAGCTCCTTTAAAAAAAAGTTGCTAAAGAAACCTGGAGGGCTCAAATTTGGCTCAGAAGGAAGGGGAAGTCTGAAATAAGTATAGTAATGATAAACACATGCGAAGTTCACTATAATCTTCCCACTGTTTCTTTCCTTGCTAAGTTAATTTTTCTTATAGCAGGCATCTTCAACAACCAACTATGTCAATTTATTATTTCCATATGTTCTTTCTTTCTTTCCCCTAAATTCCAAAGACTAGTCATAATTATATGGTGGGGCAGGAATGGGTCAAAAGCAAATTGCCTGAGTGAGAGAAGTTCTAGAAGGTCACATGAGCTTTCAAAATCTGAATTAAATCAGAGAAGACATTGAACAATTTTGTGCAGACACCTTTGAGAGTGAAGAACTATATCTTATAAATGGTGTGAATAATGCATTTGGCCCTTAATACAAACTTATTTGATAGCCCTGAATGTAATTCCTACTACATATCTATATGAGTCAGGCTTCACAGGTCTAGATGAAATTCTTTTCATATAATATTTTCACTGAAGGAGCATAGCTAGTATTCAGAAGGAATATCCTAATAGAATTTTAAAGCTTTTCCCAATGAGAGATGGCTTGCTTTTATCATGCTTCTTGAGGAGAAAAAAGCTTAAGAGGTTTCAAATAAACAGCTTATCAATATAGAATATTATTTAATCAGACCAGAGACATAGTGAGATTAAAATTTTAAGGACAAATTATTCTGCACTAGCTTTCATAATTTTTAATTATAATTTCTACAATTTTATAACGTAAGTTATTTGAAAACATACTTAGCTATTCCCAAAGAGAGTCAAATTTCCATTGCTCATCTCAAAAGGCATAAAAAGCACCAACACATCCTTCCATTCCTCCAAACCTGTTGTGAATCATATTTTTAAATTTCAAGTCATTCAATAAAATGTCTTCTAAAATACAAAAAATACATAAAATGAGGAATTAATTTATTTTCTTCTTTGTATCTCAGATTTGATTGGGAATAATTTGCAAGGGTTTTCTGTTTCTTGTCAGAAGAGTTTCTGTTCAGTTATTCAATAAAACATGTATTGAGTACTCATTGTTCAGAAAGAGCCCTATGGAAAGCAGAAGATGGAGTATACATTTATTCAGGGTTTTATCACAGCAGAGACAGACATATTCCATGACACATATATAAGGATACCCATTTCTGTGGGCAGATGCATTAGAAAAGATACAGAACTGACAACACAGCTGATGAGACACGCTAAACTATCCTAGTACAGACCTTCCTTGCTGACAGAACCTGATTTTGTTCAACAATCAGGGCTGGAGCAAGGGCAAGGCTAGTAAGTACCTTGTTTGCAGTGTAAAATTTCAGGGGATATGAAAAAATTCAGTAATCAAGATAAATAGTACTTTAATATAATTTTTAAAGGTCTAAATTAATGCAAAACTCCAGGATGAGCACACCATCAACATTTTGAATAAAGACCCTGGAGCCCCAAAGGGGCTCCGCAAGAGACTGTACTGATCCTGTCTTTATTTAAAATCTAGAGTGCTGTTCATCATTGTTTGATTTTTTGCATTCATATACCTTTTTAAAATATTGAATTAGTATATTATTTCTCTTGATTACTGAGTGTTTCAGCACCATTTAAATAGTGTACCCAAGACGAGTTCCTCACTCACCTAATCCTGGTCCCAGGCCTGCTGGACTCAGGAGTTAAATAGTGGTTTTTTCCATTCCCCCTTGGCAGACACTTCCTTTTCAATTACACCTAGAGGCAGCCACACAAATAGCTCTGGCCATTCATATGCAAACAATTCTGCACATGGCTTCTATGTAAGATTTGGCTTTTGTTGTTGATTTCTGATACTAAGCAGAGAGCAAAGAAGCCAGTTACCCCCACCCTCCCACTACTGCCTGTCTCTGAACACTGCCAGCAGCCATCCTAACATGAAATAAAAACCAAGGGCAAGAGCCAACCCCGTGAGGATGACTGAGCAAAACGACAGCACTTGGGTCCTTGCTGCTGCTGCTGAGCTCTGAACCAGCCCTGTACTGCTTATTCTTTGCATCTAGTTAGGAGACAATGAACATCCTTATGATATAAACCACTATTAGACTATCTATCTATTACCTGAAGTCAAAATATTTCTAATGGATATTCTAGCTTAATAGCCAGTGAGCTTTTGGAGTAAGGGTTTCTAAACTTTACTGCATTGATGACTTAAAACATATATGTTAATATTTCATCTCTGAATCATTTGCTTCTAGGTAGTGAAGCAGTGCAAATTCTCAATGGAATTCTCAATTGGAACATGGCTGTAATCTCTTTATATGATAATTAATTGTGGAAATGTATGCAAATTAGAGGTCAAACCATCCTTGAAATAAAATATATTGATTTTTTCCTACTAAATACTTGTGATAAAAATGTCAGTGTCAATAATGTCAACAGAAATCTCCTTTTGTATTTTGCTCTTGCAAATAAAGAATTCAATAAAGAATTCTATTGTGTTGTCGTTTGAGGATGAAGGAGGGAGTTTTCCTGAAGAGATGAAGAATGTCCCAAATGTCCCTTATGTTCCTTTGTTTCCCTAGATTCAAGAGCAATAGAATCAATGTGTTAGGAACCTTAGATATAATAGCCCTATAGGCTCATTTTTCACTTGAAAAAATTGAGATCAAAATAGAAGACAATAGGAGATTTTCTATACATCAAAGAAGCAGTTAACAGCAGTGTCGCAACAACTGCACAGGTTTCCTTTCCCAGTCTAGTATTCTTTAAACATGAACCATGATGCTTTCTAAAAAATTTGACTCAGAGAGGAGGTCAAGGCACATGAGTCTCTGAGTAGAACAGCCTACATCGATATTCATTAAGTAGTGCTGGAAGGCAAAGGTCTATAATTGTGCTATCCAATTTGGTAGACACTGGCAATAGATGACTACATTTAACTAATTAAAATTAAATACAATTAAAATTTATTACTTTAGAAGTAACATTTCAATCCTCAACAGCTATACATGGCTAATGGCTACCATATTTGTCAGTACAGAATATGAGCATTTCTATTATCATAGAAAGTTCTATTGGTCAGCACTGCTTTATAGCCATGAGTTCGCTTATTGTTCTGTTTCTAATTATAGGAACAGGAAGAAGGGAAGGATCACCTATAGAAAACTCACCCTGAAAGGGTAAAAGAAGAATTGCATGCATTACTACAAAAGCTACTCAGGCTAAATATGTATCTCTCTCATTTCCTCTGCATGGTAATATAATATCTATTAATTTCAAAAAGTATTTTTATCACTTAAATTCAAAAGCATCTGAAAATCAACAATTCTCAAATGTGATGGCACCTTCTGAAAGCATGCATACATCAGAAATTTTCCTCCGAAGACTGCCTTTGGGAGTTAAATAAATTAGCTTTCTTATGCCAAGTTAACATGAACTTAGCCCTTAAAATAACTTCGGGAGGAAAACTTTACTGATAAAACGGTCTGAAATAGTCTGGTTGTTTCTTCTCTCCAAATCTCATGTTGGCATGTGATCCCCAATGTTGAAGGTGGGGCCTAGTGAGCTGTGTTTGGGACATGGGGGAAGACCCCTCATGAATGATTTGGTGCCCTCTTTGCCATAATGAGTTCATGTAACATCTAGGTTGTTAAAAAAGAATCTGGGACATCTGCCCTGTCTCTCTTGCTCCCACTCTTGGCATGTGATATGCCCACACCCCCTTCACCTTCTGCCATGAGTAAAAGCTTCCTGAGGCCTCACCAGAAGTCAAGCAGATGTTGTTGCCATGCTTGTACAGCCTGCAGAACTGTTAGCCAAATAAACCTCTTGTCTTTATAAATTACCCACTCTCAGGTATTCCTTTACAGTAATGCAAAATGGACTAAATCACAGTCTATGGTGGATTTTCATTAAAGATAATCTTGGATTTTAAGTATTCTGCTGAAACATGTACACATACAT